CAGCAAACTTACAATTGTGGTACCATCAGCATTGTTGGAGGAGCTGTCCTCAACACAGGTCCCGGTCCCTGGGGGCGGGTAATGATGATATGCTTGTTGCCCGTAACCCTGCCATTCACTCGGCGTATACGTTTCGTACCCAGGGCATTGAGATTGAGCCTCTGGAGTAGGGGAAGGATCTTCCGCGGAGGCGCGAGCCTTGACTAGGTTGTCTCGGGGCTCTGTGACAGCAAGAGCGCTTACCGAGATGGTAAATTGGGCCAAAGCGCCAAGTGCTAGGAATCGCATCTTAAAGTGAAAATCAAATAGAAGGATGAAAGTTGATAAATAGAAGAGATGAATGATAAACAATCGAATTGGTATGCTAAGGATGTCCTTTATATATGATTTTTATATTGATCCCTAAGGCATTTGGACCTGACACCACTTACCAGAACGGGTGAAAGGTAAACTAGTAAGTGAACCTGACCCCACTAACCAGAACGGTCAAAATTAAACGGGCGGTTTTACCAACCTTAGAAGAGACCACTATAGCCACACCTGATTAATTTGGAGGGATCGTCGGAGAGCACATTATTCGAAGTTATGTACAAAGGTTTACAAAATAGTGAGTGGTCTTCCAAGGCATTTTAGATTATAGTATCATCTCATTTTGCATCATACAATCTCATTTTAGGGCACCAACCAACTTCTCATCATGTCAGCCCCAATATTACCAGAGGGGTTTTAACAATGGTGCGACTGCCTAGAATGTGCTCTCCGACGATCCCTCCAAATTAATCAGGTGTGACTATAGTGGTCTTTTCTACTCCGTAAAGGTTGGTAAAAGTAGGCTAGCGTCTAGGTGATCGACGGGACTAAATATATACCGCATTGCTACGTACTAACTGAAGCGGAAACTCCCCTTCGGGGCCCGAAATCGCCCAACTACTTTGTTTCTGTTAAATTTAAATATGTTGGGTTGGGTGGCCAGCTCACTTAGTTACCGAATACGTTGGCCAGTTTTCCACTTTTATGCCATATTCCCCAGGCCTCCAATCCAAACCCTCTTCCTGTCCTCGTACCTGGAGGGCTTGCTTGTTGGCCTATGTCAGTCACGGCTGGATATTGGCTTCGAGTCCACTACCTGCGCTTGACCATCGTGTGGCTAGCTCAAAACAAAGCCTCATTAAGCGTGTCCAGGAGTCGCCCCTAATGGGTGGTGGGGCGACTCCTACGCACGAGCCGCCCACACAAGCGAGTCGTCCACCCCAAAACACTATAGTAAATGCGATAAATTACAGCTTGATATTTCAACAACTGTAGTCTATAGGGACTTCGCCTTATAGCCTCCTGCTTTCTAGGTGATATCTAGCGTCTTTAAGGAGTTTGAAGAAAATTTATGACTTTACGATTGCGATATATATAGCTAAAGTGCCGCTACACCGAACCTCGCCCTCGGTGTAGTCGGCCCTACGTATAACTACACCGAACTAAGGCCTTAGTGCAGCCGTTGCACTAGTACCGTTGCACCGGTACCGCTATACTTGTCAAGGCCTATATCGGACGGAAGGGAACGGACTCTATATTATATTATGCTAGGTGTTGATAATAATGATAATAATGATAATGATGAATTTATTTACCCGATGTAGCTCGCTCTAATATATGCTACTATACGGGGGTGCTATTAGGCCTGCTAATAGCTTAAAGGTGGTAGCTAGCCCACTAAATGACCGTTTTATAGGGATCGCCGGGCGAACCCCTTGATCGGTCGTCCTTGAACGTAAACAAATAAGACAAACGCGGCTACTTAAACATAATAAATAAAGGAAATTTAAAACGAACGTCACCCTTAGCCTCCTCTATAACCTATAGTCTTCTTCGCCGTATAGCTCCTTCCCTATAACCCCTTTTGCTTAGCCATCCTGGCTATCGGCTGCCGCTCCTATGCTCGCTTATATTAAGGGAGAATAGTGGACCTAGCACTACACTCCTATCGGGCACTATCCTTCTCCTTCCGTCACACTATCCTGAAGGGTCACTCTTTATTATCGCTCTCTTCCACACCTAGAGCGGTTAGATCAACTTCCTGAAACTGGCCTAGGAGGCTGGTTCTGAATATGAATTCGGTCATAATTGTACGAGCCTCTGGCCGCGTCAGAATCTTATCCTAGCGGAGAGCGATTCTTTGGTCAGAAACAGCTCTTCTTATCTAGTCACGTTCATCCCGGTGTAACGGGCACTCGACTAGGACATGAGTCACTATCTGGTTGCCTAGGTCGTAGGCGCACTACGGCGAGTTAGTCATATCGGTTGATACGATTTAGATAGGCACCTAGGCTGACTCTTCCGGTTCGGAGCTATATTAGGATTGACGTCGTCGCTTTACGTAGGCCTAACTAGTATTCTAGTGCCTTCTTTATCGGTACCTCGATTAAGCGTTTTGTGGGTCGACTGGTCGTCTCCCTTATCTATGTCCTCTCCCACTCGATCTTCACCTCACTACGAATTCGGTATTTAGCTATAACGATTTTCGAAAACAGTTCACCCCTTAGATACTCACACTCTGTTTGTCGGCCCGTACCCGAAATAAGCTGAACCCTTATTAGGATAAGTGGTAAAATACTGTCCACTTATAGATTAGTACAGTTTACGAACTAGCTATATTATCTCGGGTACGGGCCGACAAATAGAGTGTGAGTGTCTGAGGGGTAAACTATTTTCGAAAATCGCTATACGGCCGCTAGACGGATATATCGATTGTGGGGGTTCTATGGTCCTTCGAGTTCCTAGGCGGCTTCTTTTGTATATTGATCCACGATCTCGTTGCCGATGACCCCTTGATAAGCTAGGATCCACCTAAGCTCTATCTGAATGCCTTTTGCTCCGAGTTGGCGGATAAGGTCTAGACATCCTGCTAGATAGACTTGTCCAGACAGCATCCGCGGTCGGGGGAGTGCCTTTAGTGCCGCTTAGCTGTCTGTAAAGATAATAAGCCCATTTTCTGCCCGTACGGCCCGCGGTTCCGTGCTTTCAGAAAGGAGTGTGAGCGCCATCTCGATAGCGCAAAGCTCGGCGGCGTATATAGTAGACGTGTCTTCGTCGCCTATTTGGCTATAGGTATGGTGATCCTTAAGATCAACGACTACTGCTGCTCCGATTCTTCCTTCGATTCCTGTTTTTTCCGAGATAACCAGTACCTGGAGGTAGATTTTCGCGCCTTGTCCATATATCCACGGTTCTGCTGTTCCAGAAATATTTGTTATTGTAATAATTCAAAGAAGGTCGGTTATTCATTCTGAGGGGATACAAGGTGAAGTCCGGCAGTCTATGGCCGTCACTTCAATCCGAGTGACCTTCCCGCTGACAAGCTGACACATGTGCTCTATGCCTTTGCGAATATAAATCCCGATACTGGAGGAGTGTACTTAACAGACTCCTGGGCTGATGTTGAGAAACATTATCCCGGAGATACCTGGAATGGGCAAGCAAATAATCTCTACGGTTGCATCAAGCAGCTTTATCTTCTCAAGTAAAAGCATCACAATCTCAAGGTGCTTCTTTCTGTCGGTAGCTGGACCTACTCCACAAATTTCGCGGCTGCGCTGAGTACTCCTTCTGGCCAAGCCAAGTTTGCCTCATCTGCCACGGACCTAGTGAAAAACTTGGGATTTGATGGCATTGACATTGACTGGGAGGTCTGTAATATATATATTTCCCATAGAATCTCCACTCGTACTAAGAGCACGACAGTACCCCGTCAATGACGTCCAGGCTGGGGACCTGGTTTCCACTCTTGGGAAGCTGCGCACGGTATGTATGATGGATTGCCACAAATATAGAAGAAACTATCTCACAGACGAACAGTCGTTAGACCAATACAGCGCGGAGAATACCAACGACTACCATTTCTTGATCACGGTTGCGTGTCCCGCTGGCAAGTTCGGTTAGCGCTTGGCAAGAAGACTCCAGCACGGCTAACAATGAATCAGGTTCCAGCCATTACGAAAAGCTCCATGTAGGCCAGATGAACCGATACATCGACTTCTGGAATTTCCGAACACCGCGGGACCGGGCACATCTTTCGGCAGCGTCGGTGTTGGTAGCTGGGAAAAAGGGATCTGGGACTACAAAGCGCTGCCCCTAGCGGGTGCTACGGTCCACTATTTGCCACAGCCACTTGCTAGCTACAGTTACGATGAAGGACAGCAGATGATGGTGAGCTACGATACCCCTCAGGCCGCACATGACAAAGCCCAGTATATTATGTCCAAAGGACTTGGCGGCGGGATGTGGTGGGAGAGCAGTGGCGATAAGAACGGCACCGACAGTCTGATCGCGACGGTATGTCCAGTGTACGATGATCCCCACCACCCCCTAGACCGCTAATTGATTTTGAGGTCGTCGATGCCTTTGGCGGCCTGGAAAATAGCTTAAACGAGTTAGATTATGCAGCCTCCTCGTACGAGAAGATGAGAGCGGGGTTCCCAGGTCGGTAATTGTGCTATTGTTGGCCACAGGGCCTCTTCAGAATGTTTGCTTTCCATGTCACTGAGCGCTTTACCGAGCACGCGCAGCGTACAGTCACAACTAAGCGAAGAACATTTGTATCTGTTTCAAATGCCCACAAGTACTTCAACCATAGCACAAAGGCCTAAACCACATGAACCCCGACGAGGCATACTTCCTACTCTACGAAGAGAGTCTCATAGACAATTAGAATATTCTGCCTTGCCCGACACCTAATTTCTTGAAAGTATCACGTTTCCAGTTCAATTCTTGGTGAGGTGAAATTTTACAAATCAGTACAGTACCTGTTGTCAACACGGCACAAGAATCGAGGTTGTTGCTCCCACATTGACAGTCTTAAGTGCAAGTGATACGTTAGATACCAATTGTCCGGTGTCCTCAGATTGATAAATTGTGCATAGTAAACAAACAGAGTATCAGTGAGCAATTTTGACTTTCGAACAAGGCACTGCAGGATCTTTCCACTGGTTGCTGGGTCAATGTGAAGATCCGGAGCGAAAGACTCAAAAAAATTCTCCAGCAGGCTCGTATTTTCCTCACTTACCGATTAAGATAGGCCCTATGAGCAAAATTGGAACTTGCCTCTATCAGCGGAGTTTTGCTATTCAACGCGCAAATGTTTGCTTATCTGCTGGCGGAAATGGAAATTTTTATTCTTCGCGTTGCCACCATATCTGTCCAATTTTGCTCTAGGTCCGTAGTTCTTCTGGCCTTCTGCAACTTCTAGGACATGGCTTGCCTTGGAATTTGCTCAGGGTAAAATCCAAACAACGCGATCACATTTGCGAGCAGCCTTATATGGCTGATGCACGAGTTACCCACTGCAGGTCATGTTGGGGGCGGGTGGTCACTGAGCTATTGATTAAACACGATTATATTTAAGGCTCGGGACTGATCGGTAGCATTAAATTTCTTCGGCCCGGTCCTCTTTGAAGCAGAGAGCGTGCGTTCAGCATCTGTGATTAATATCAATTTCGAATTCATCGATGACTACTAGGCCACTATTTTAGTTTCGCGCAATGAATGATATCGTAGACATTGCAAGGGCTATTGGTCACCAGCAAGGTGAATACGCATACTATCGTGCCTACTATAGCCTTTTAAAGCAGCTTCAGGATTTAATGTCTGAGATGAGCGAAGACCTTCAACGCCTTCATGAGAGCCCGCATAGCAACTCTTCTGAAGGGCTGTTAGCTGTCTTCCGCCTTGCCGACCATTTTCGTTCGTCAGTGCAAAGTATCTCCGCCCAGGAAAAGAATGCTAGGTCGGCGCTGGCAGGACTGTGCTCTGCCGATCATCCATACATTGATGCTAGCCGATTTGATATGTCGAATGCGGAAAGAAAGGAGGTTAGATCTAGCAATTGATTCATGATGCTTGGCGATGCCGCTGGAATGCAGCATATTGTCTTGCTGTGGTGAATACTGGAGGCAAAAAGAAAAAAACAAATCAGCCATCACATTCATTCAAACGATTTTACTATGGGTGCGGTAGCTGTGAGGAAAATTCCCCACCTGATCGTTTTTAGATGCAGTACTTCACTTGGACCGCACACATAAGTGTCAAATGATATTATACAATGTTTGAACTAAAATCCAATACCAAGCTTCTGCGGCAAGCCGTCAGTGATTTGAGACCTCGAATCCCTTATTCCAGTCCACCCGTTTTTGATCCAGCAAACGCGCCATGGCTGTAGCGATCTCGGAGCCGTCACTTTTTTTTCAACTCTTTTGCTACATCAATTAGATTCCTATATTTGGTGGCGACGGACACTACGTTGTAGCGTTCTAGTTACCAATATACACAACCAACAGATGAAAAACCTTGCCAGGCATTATTGTATACTGCAAAGAAATGCCCGACGTTCCGCATGACTGCCGCATTCTGCGCGCACGTTTGTCAGAACACGTGGGGTGAAAGTAGCCATGATTCTTATTTTTGGTTCCGCTTGTCAAGGCGCGTAGGTACATAGAAGAGAGTGGTATGTTTTTATGCTGATACAGTTCATGTACCGGGCGAAGGAGTCCCAGATGGCGTTTTGGCGCTTTGGAATGGATGATACCGGCGCATGCGGAATCACCAATTTGGCAGGTATATCGGAGTCATAGTCCGCTGGGTTTTCTGATCGGCATTTCGAGTCTGATCATGCTTCACTCGCTTAGTTTCATTCTAGTCATAACTACAGCCGGATGGATGGATGGATGGATTTCATTTACCCTGACCCCTCACAATTGAATGTGATATGCAGGCTACCACAACTATATATATCCCTCTACGTACAAGTGTACCACTTCCTGCAAACGAACTTAGAGCCTCGTCACGGCCTCTCGTGGCCTAATTGCCGTTTCCAATGCTAGGCTGCTCCCGTGGCGCGCGACTTTGAAACCGTTGTGACGCCTCGGCGAAGTCTAGCACGGCATTGACCGTCCTAGCCCTCGAGACGGTGTCTGGTTTATCTCTCTTACCTTCGGTTGAGCCTCCCAGCAGACTCGACACGCTTCGAAACGCGTCCCCTACTTCACTCCGTAACTCCTTTCGAATATCTCTCAGGTTTGGACAGTCCACTAGCACGTGGGTGACTGTCTCCTGCGCTCCGCACACGCAGTGGTCGTTGTCGCGGAAGCCAAAAGTCTTGGCGTAGGTGGATAACCAGCTGTGGCCCGTGCGTAACTGTGTTAACAGGTACGCCCGGTTCCTGGGCAGGCTCCCGTATAGCTTTCTGGTGTACGATGCGGGCAGAGTGCCGTCGATTTTTCGTAGGTGGCCGCATTTGGCGGATGACCTCCAATCTTGCTCCCACTGAGCGTTGATGTTGCTGCGGATGTGTGCCTTCTCTCGAGAGAGTAGCGGACGGAAGGGATGGGCCAAGAGACATAACTACATAGCCAAGATTGCCCGTGGCCAAGCCTTAACGAGTTCTTGAAACCAATGTAAAGCAGCTTCACCAGGCCCGCTTGTTCAGGCCACTGCCCTGGTTTTCAGCACGCGCATCTTTCGATGGACGCCCTCTAGATATTGAGGCCCCGGCCAAAACCTCTCACCCCAGGTGTCTCCAGGTTTGCTCCTTAAGCATGCATCATCAGCATTTCAGCTAGAACGACATCACATCCATCGCCCAGCCGCAGGTTCTCAGTGCGAGTGAGATAGCAAAGACAGGCCGGACCTGCCCCACTAGGACGACACCACTTTGGCTGGTAGATTTCAGGTCCTCAGTGCGAGTGAGGTAGCTGTTTCTGTCTCTTTGCACACCGATACGCGCGTCCGTCCTCTCGGGCCACATAGACAGTCTCGTCGGGTCCTCTCGACTCGTCCGTCACTACTAGTATATACCACGCCCTACAGGGAGATGTCTCCCTCCTTCGCGTTACCGGTCGAGATCTCTCTCTGCCGGCCGACCGTGTCTCGCAAAGGCTGTCACGAGTATCCCCATTGGCCCTGTAGGATACCCTGACTGTCTTTTACTAACCAAGCTTGTGTCCCTGATTTTGCAGCCCTCTCGAGCACCCGTGGCTGTGCCTTAAACGAGTTCGTCGAGGGTCGTCACTAGACTAAATACCCCGTCTGGAAGATATCACAGGATAGATATCCTAGTCAGAGTTGCCCGTAGCTTCGCTTTAACGAGGTTCCGACCCAGGTCATTCCATGGCACCCCCAACCTAGGCCTTAACAAGTGCAGCGGTACCGGTGCAACGGTACTAGTGTAACGGCTGCACTAAGGCCTTAGTTCGGTGTAGTTATACGTGGGGCCGACTACACTAAGGGCGAGGTTCGGTGTAGCGGCACTTTAGCTATAGTGCAGCTACACTATAAATAATATAAATATTGCCTAATTCGGCCTAGGTATATATAATTTATATAAATTATAGTATTGTGTCGGACGAGGGACACTAATGTGAACTAATACCAAAAACTTACTATACCGAGCAAGTGGTAAAATGAGTGTGTATTCTAAAGAGCAGCAAGTGATCGACTATTTATCCCCGTATGGGCTTATAAAG